TGAGATGGATGTGGGCAATCGGGCCAGCAGGGATAGGGCCTAAACCGGCAGTCGGACATCCCCTGAGGGGGGGTCCCAGATTGGAGAGGGTGCAGGTTGGGCTGAGGGACAGCCCACCCCCAAATTTCGTGCACCAGGCCACTAGGCTATATATCCTATCTAATAATAGACAAACATGGTAATTAACCATACTTCTGCTATGCTTCCCATTGGCTAATCAGCAAGATATGCAAATTAACTGCCAACCAAGATGGTGGCCGGCAGCCAGGCAGCTGAAGCGAACATGAAGCTTGCTTGCTCCAGTGATGGAGGAAGCCAAGGTTCCCCACCTGCCGCTGCCCAGCTCTGAGCTCCGGATGCAACAATGTTGCAATTATAGAAGCTAAACAAACCCCAAATACCTGCTTTCAGCCAGCCGGTCTCTGAGCTGGAGCCGCAACAAAGTTTCAATTATAGAAGGTAAATAAATCCCAGAATAAAAAAAGAAAAGAAAAAAAGGAGAAACTGGGAGCTTCAGTTGCAGGCTTGGCCCACCTGAAAACAGCCCTCAGACCCTCATCCAGGCTGGCCAGGCACCCCAGTGGGGACCCCCACCCTGAAGGGGGTGTGGGAAGCCTGAAAACAGCCCTCAGCCCCTCATCCAGGCTGGCCAGGCACCCCAGTGGGGACCTCCACCCTGAAGGGGGTGTGGGCAGCCTGAAAACAGCCATCAGCCCCTCATCCAGGCTGGCCAGGCACCCCAGTGGGGACCCCCACCCTGATCCAGGACACCATTCAGGGCAAACCAGCTGGCCCCCACCCGTGCACCAGGCCTCTATCCTATATAGTAAAAGGGTAATATGCAAACTGACCCTAACAGCAGAAAGACTGGGAATGACTGGTCACTATGACACACACTGACCACCAGGGGGTAGACGCTCAATACAGGAGCTGCCCTCTGGTGGTCAGTGAGCTCCCACATGGAGGAGCTCTGTTCAGCCACAAGTCAAGCTGATGGATGCCAGTACTGCGGTGGTGGTGGGAGCCTCTCCTGCCTCCTCAGCAGCGCTAAGGATGTCCAACTGCAGCTTAGGTCTGCTCCCCGCTGGCAAGTGGACATCCCCCAATGGCTGCCGGGCTGCCAGAGGGATGTCTGATTGCCAGCTTAGGCCCAATCCCCTGGGGAGCAGGCCTCAGCCAGCAGATGGTCGTCCCCCAAGGGGTCTCAGACTGTGAGAGGGCACAGGCCGGGCTGAGGGACCTACCACCCCCGTCCCCCGAGTGCACAAATTTTTGTGCACTGGGCCTCTAGTATATATATAAAAGGCTGATATGCAAAGTGTCCCCTCGGGAGTTCGACCGGGAGACTGGGAGTATGATCGCTTGCTATGACATGCGCTGACCACCAGGGGGTGGCGCGGAATGAAGGAAGGCCCGGGCCGGCAGCCAGCAGCTGGGGAAGGAAGGCCACAGCTGGCAGCCATAAGGAAGGCCCCGGCCGGCAGCCGGAAGACCCCGATTGGCCCTGATCGCTGGCCAGGCCTAGGGACCTACCTGTGCACAAATTTCATGCACAGGGCCTCTAGTTTACATGTAATACATATTAATCAATTCAGTCAGACTATCATCTCTCTATTTGAATTTCAGGTAATTGTTGTTTCTTTTCTTTTCCTTAAAAAATGTAATAACCTTTCTTGAGTGTTGTGCCATAAACTGAAGAGCAAGCACTAGTTAAAAACGATGCTTTTCCTAGACTTCTGATTCATATTGTAAAATGAGTCACATGGTATTAATGGTATTTATAAATGCCACAGGGTGTACTCTATTGCTTGTTAGGCAAAAATGGTAATGAACATAAACTCAAAATAAGCTCTTTATAGTAATTCCTCATTTGGATATAACTTATCCTGGTTTCTACAACTTATCTAGAAATGCTTTAAATATACATATTTTTGTGAGAACTAGCTTTAATAAGCTAACCTCAAGAGCCTTTATTATGGTTTCTGAAAGTATTCTACTGTTTCACTGCATAGAATAAAACAAAAACATCAATCCTAAAAATGAACCACAAAATCAATATTCTGCAATCTTTTTATGGGCTGAATCAAATTGAGGCTATATGATTTAAGGCCTATCAATACCTTCAGTGTTGGCACTAATTCATTACCATTTGGAGATGAAGAAACGATCTCATTTCACTTGGAAACCAATAATTATGTGTTTGTTTCCATGATGTAAATATTCCCAAATGGGTTAGCTCACCACCAAAAGGATTCCATTCATGGCTACAATTGGCATTGACTTTCCTGGAACTGTTATGGAGGATTAAATAGGATATGAAGGTTTTTGAAACACATTGATTATATATATATATATATATATATATATATATATATATATATATATATGAATAACACAAACAACATACAGGCCAGTATCTCTACTTAGTCCCAATCAATGCCCACATATTGGTTGTCAAGCTTGTTTGGCGTACAGATGCACTGTGTTCACCACAAAGGGTATTTTAAAATAACCTGAATCAATATTTAAAGGAGAGAAAACTTTATCGTTAAAAAACTTCATATTTCTGCCTTTAGTTGGAAAAGCTGGAGTTGTAGCAAACGTGGCAGATTCAGGGAGATCTGAGGAGATGTAGCCTAGTTCTGTTTGGACAAAGATTTGCTTTTGGTTCACCCCAGTCACAACCACTCCTATTGTATTGCCAACATCAAGGCTGTTTGTAATAAAGGAATAGGTCTCTTAAACGTTAGATCTCTTCAAGAGAAACAAAATGATGCCCAGCAGCATGGCTCAGTGGTTAATCATGGACCTATGAACCCTGTGGTCATGGTTCAATTCCTGGTCAGGGCATATGTTGGGTTGTGGGCTCGATCCCCAGTAGGGGGCGTGCAGAAGGCAACCGATCAATGATTATCTCTCATCATTGATATTTCTATCTCTTTCTCCCTCTCCTTTCTTCTCTGAAATCAATAACCATCTTATCTAATAAAGAGGGAATATGCTAATTGACCCTCATGCCATTGCAAAGATGGCGGTGCCCACAGCCAATAAGGAGGGAATATGCTAATTGACTGCCCTGCCCTCAAAGATGGCAGCACCCACAGCCAATAAGGAGTGAATATGCTAACTGACTGCCCCGCCCTCAAAGATGGCGGTGCCTACAGCCACAAGATGGTGGTGCCCAGTCCCCTCAGCCCTGCCGGGGCGGCAGGCTCATGGCAAGGCCCCAGCTGCTTCACGCACCTGCCTCCAGAGTCCCCCAGTCCCCTCAGCTGCCCAGTCACCCAGGGCCGGCCCAAGGCGCAGGCAAGCCTCAGGTGTTAGCTGACCAGCCGCCCAGGGCTGCCTGAGGCACAGGTAATCAGGGCCGGCTGAGGCTTGCGCTGCTGGCAGTGGCAGCACCAGAGGTGTGATGGGGCGTTGCCTTCTCCTGATCGCCGGGTCGCCTCCCACCCCTGAGGGCTCCCAGACTGTGAGAGGGGGCTGGCCAGGCTGAAGGACCCCCCTCCAGTGCATGAATTTTCATGCACCGGGCCTCTAGTATATATATAAGTAACAGAATGAGAATATATTCTTTTCTTTCAATTGGTCTGTTTAGTTCATTTAAATTACTTGCCTAGGAAAACAGACTGCATATAGCGTTATGACCCTGCCCTAAATGTGTGACTACTCTGTTTCTACACGTGAAGAAATTTACTAGGTAACTTTTCTGCAGGATGACAGAGGGGCTCTGAAGGTTAATCTTATGCCTCATAAATACCTTCCCTTTCACGTCGCCAATGTATCATCAATATCATTATATTATTTTAAAAAAGCCTTCCAAAATGAATGATAAAATTATCTATGATATATTCTATGCAACCATTGGTTTACTACATGAAAGCTCTCTAAGGGCAGGAGTTTTGTTCCTGAAAGTTTGGAACAGGGCCTAGCACACAGTAGGTGCTCAATAAACATGTGTTGCATGAATAGTAACTTTATATTTCTCACTGTGCTGAGTTTCTACTGCAGTTGTTTCTCTAGAGCTATGCTCCACAGATCTTTACGGGCTCTGAGCCCTAGGAAGCTCCAGTGTGACTTACATTACTGGGATTAGTGGGTTCATTGTTTTCTGGCATCTGATTTGGCCACAGGGAAGCACCAGGCAGGAGACTGTTGGGAGGTAGGAGAGTGAGGTTGCATATTTAAAACCCTGGTTCCTTCCCTGGGGGCTCACTTCATTGAAGGTCAGAGCTCCTGCCCTGCAATCCTCTCCACATTCCTTTTCTGGTCCTGTATTTCCATAGCCTCTGCCTCCTCTCACTCCTACAAGCAGATGGGTGGGAGCAGCATCCCTCCTTTCTAGCGCCAGGGCAAAATACTACCCCTACCAAGCTTTGTAAATACAGGTGTTCCCCACTTTGCAAAAATTCACTTTACTTCCACTTTACTTTAAGAGAGACACTACATTAGCACCTGCTTTCCTAACCAAAAGAAAGGAATCTGACTGAAAGAATGGGAAGATAAGACACTTTAGCTTTTGTTTTAGAAAGGGAAATATGTACTAGTAGTGTTTGTTTTTCAGTGAGCCTCTGTAGAGAGAGTGAGGCGCCCGGAGCAGCAACTGTGGTAGCATCAAGCTCCTTCCCAGGACCCATACCCAGAATCTCAGCATCCCGCCACCCTAGCTTTGAACTGCGTGTGAGAACATCTGTGCTCTACCTCTGTGTATTTTGTGCGTCCTTTAGCAGATATGTCCTAAGATAATGGCTTTTCTGCTTTACTCCATTTCGGTTTACAAAGGGTTTTGTGGGAAGGTTCTACTCTTGGGTAGCGGGGGAGACCTGTAGTCCTGTAATAAGACTTTCCTGCAATTATCCAACTCATGCTATGGGTAACACACTCATCACAGAGTCTGCTGGAGCCAACTGATCCCTCCCCTCCGCATTACAAAACAACAGAGAAGCAGTGCTTCATGAAACAATAGTTTTCACCTTTCCCAGTAACTGAGAGATCTTCACCTGTAAATGGCAGAGGCCGGGTGAGAGCCGGTGTCGTAGCTGGCGCGCACGCGTCCCCGGTAGAGCTCTACAGCGATGTGGTCCTTGTCCCCCTTGTACAGGAGGATCCCACTGTCTTCATCGGTAGCAATCTAGGAGGAAGGACACTTCCGTTAGTAGGATGGGTCGTCACTCAAACACATTTCATCAAAAAGAAACAAGACTGCTTAGTGAAGGGTTTTTTCTAAGCTTTATGTTTTCCTTATGGCTATGAGAAAATACGATACTGTACGTTGAAATCATTACTTGAAAGATGACCTAGTCTAAATTACTTCCTTGCAAATAAATTCCTAAGGAACTTTAAAAATACATTCATAAACATATTTTTACTCTTCCTGTACATATGGGCAATGCCAAAGCTTCAAGATGCATGTCCCATGAAATATGCAAAAACAAGGAATTTACATACCTAATTTACACTTCGGGAAATTAAAGCTGAAAAATATTTTCCACAGCATTAGAGTGCACAATATCTAACGGAAACCAAGCTTTCCTCCTTAGCTATCAACTATATTTTCTCAGCAGAGAATGATAACGTCTAATCAGGAATAAAAATGGTGGTGTTTCTGTTCTGTTGAAAAAGAACAATAACATGCGCCTAAGTAAACACCGCTGCCTGTGCTTACACTTGGAGCTTTTCACTCACCTGCTCGCCCTGCTTCTGTAACGGACTGTATTTATGGCACATGTGAAATGCGACTGCGCTGAGCAAGGTCGACTTTCATATTTCATATAAAGAAGTGAATTCTTCATAGTGATGGCATGAGAAGAGGGAAATCTTTCTTTTTGCCCTGCTTTCTGGCTTTTAAAGAAGCAGTTCTGTTAAAGTTAGGACCTAAGCCCAAACAGCACTGGGCACTTCTCATAACAATCAATGTGGCGAATGTTGGCAGCCAGGGAGATAGGCTTTTTCGTCAAGAAGGCCTGGCTGCCTCCCGGGGTCCCATTCCCCGTGACTTCTAAAGAACGCCCCGCCCCTCCCTGGGTGCCAAGGTAAACCAAATGCAGAGTGGGACCGATAGGAAACAGGCTAAGACCATTTGAACTCAACACATATAAAATATTTTATTTACTGGATAAAACTAACCTGCCCCCTGTCACCTACAGGTATTACCTCTAATCTACTCTCACCTTGTCTACAGGGCACTGAATCACTGACTCAAAGGTAAAGGTGACATGGTGGAAAGACTAGCAATAAATCTGTTTGTTAATTTCATGTTTATTCTCAAAGGTTTCCAGTTGAAAAGTTGTACGTTCGCTGGATATTTTGCAGAGTGTAGAGCCCGGACTGCAGTCATAAAGATAAATGAATAAAAAGCCTTTACCCAAGCACAAAACAAAGATATATATTTTGTGACTGTGTGTGTGATTTTCTCAAACAAGTAATGAATAAAAATGCCCGGTTCCCACTTAGCTTAGAAAAACACAAATGTTGGCGAGAAGACTGACGCTTTCCCACAGGGGTGCTGTCTGTTATTGTGTTCTGCGGCCTGTAACTGTCTATGTGACAAATAACATCACTCCCAAACCACCACCGTGTTTATGCTGTAGAGCTGGATTTGGCTTTAGATGAGATCAGATCTTGCTGGTTGGGGGGAACCTTACCTGAAGTGAGATGTTCGTTTGAGGCTGAACCTTGGCCGAAGGAATTTGAAGATAGGACTCCTTGTTTACAAAATTCACACTAACCAGCTTCTCACACTTCTCCCCCTGGTAGCCAGGCAAACACTGGCATATGGGCTCATTTATCCTGATGATGCACTGAGCTCCATTCTGACACTCAAAATTGTCACAGGGGCTGGTTCGAGGGAGGACCATGGGCGGAGAAAATTCACAGAACAAGCCACTAAGGAAAGAAGAGAAACATGCTGATCAGATGTTACTGAATGGCCACTGTGCATGGAATCCCGTAAGCCCTAACTCTCCACACAGATGTGAACTTCTCTTCGCACCTGTAACCGTCGGGGCAGATGCACGTATAGCCGTTCACTGCGTCCGTGCAGTGGGCCCCGTTTTTACACTTGTGATCCTGGCAGTCATCGAAATCCACGTCACAGTGCTCGCCGATGTAGCCTGGGGTGCAGTCACATCTGTTTGAACAAGCAAGTAAATGATTTCAAACCCAGCGGAGCCAAAATAAGTCAAACAGTTGCATGTCATCTAGGAAAAGATGGCACCATCTTTAAAAAATGTACTTAGACATGCTCACAGAGGCCCAAACTAAAGGAAGCCTAGAACACAGTACTGGTCTGCAAAGTATCCCATGGCTTCTCACTGGGAACTGTCAGGGGAATGGTGATTTTTATCTTCTGACCAGAGTGAGTATCCATAATCCAAATAAGAATAGAATCAGTTCCCAGGGTTCCTTCTCTCTATCTTGTTTGCTTTCCCACTTTCTTCCTCCCTTCGTCCCTCCCTCTCTCTGGCTCTCTCTCTCTCTCCTTCCTTTCTCTCTCTCTTTCCCTTCCACCTCCCCTCCTTCCTTCCCCCTCTTCCTTCCTCCCCTTTTCCCCACTTTATTTGCCTATAGTGTCCACTACTTTCAGCTCTAATTCATTGGAGGAGTTGAGATGATAAAAGCGCTATCTATGTTGTCAAATTTACTAGAAAATATTAAGCAATTTCCAAATAAATAACATTTTAAAAATTAATAATAGAGAATAAAATGCATTTTTATGAAAAAATATGTTAACACTGGATACCCTAATCCATAATAAAGCCAGAGACTCATTATGGCAGAACGGGGTTGACCTAATGGAGTGAGACAGGGGAGCTGACACAGAATCCCGGGGCCAGTCTCTTGCACAGTTTCTCAGCCTGTTCCTGCTGGTGGAGGGCAGGTGGGTCTCAGCTGCTCTGATGCTGAAGGACCAGGGATAACATACAGCTGATGTTCCTGGAGCACTTCCTCTGTGCCAGCCCCCGCCCTAACCACGTGGCTTACGTGGATTCACTGAATGCTCTCTGCCGGAAACCAATTCCAGCGTGTTCAGCAGGGCTGCATCTGGGAATGGCTGAGGGCATTTCCCCAAACCTGAAAAGGGAATATTGCTTGGCTGCCAGACAGCTCAGGGCATCTTAATCTACATGTTATTGCCTCCTACTGGCCAAACACCTGAACAGCCACAGGCTAATTCCCCCATTTTGACAATGCTTGTGTTTAGGAAACCCGGACCCTTTGAAGTGTATATCTCTGCCTCGCCTCAGGACAAATTGTGTTAATGAAAAGCATGGGGTCCTGGGATGAGGAGACCTTAGACCTAAGAACTTAGAACTTAGCTCCTTCAGCTAGGCTCCTCTGACCCCCAATGCCTTTCAAAATTATGCTTCGTCTCTGGACTCCTATTTAATCTATGCACAGCCTTCTCCAGATTTGCTGAACCCTTCCTGATGCTGGGACAAGAACCCCGGCAGCTCTCCACAGCCCGGTGACATTGGTGCTACCATTGCTCAGCTCTACAGGGGAGGGAAATAGAGGACACATTGTTTAAGCTTGTTGCCCAAGGACATTCAGCTTGTGAGTGCCACAGCAAGAAACTGAACCCAAGAAATCTGACAAGAGCCTGGGTTCCTAACCACTGCACGAGGCTGTTTGATAATTAATCCCGTAGGGCTGTCTGCAAAACCTGCCCCTCTCCTGTGCTGACCACTGGAATCTCTACTATGACAGCAGGTCTCAGGACTTGAGTTGCTTGAAGGAAAGCAGTGTGGCCAGAGCAGGGGTTCTGAACTATGCTTTGTGGAGCTCTAGGGGACCATGGACCCCTACAGATATGGCCATGGCAGGGGGTGAGGTGTTTATGGTAGCTTCCCTCCACCCTCTATCTGCCTCCCAACACTCTCTTGTTGCAATTTATTAGTTTTACACTCTGGGCTCCCATGAGCATTTCTGTTTTGGGTTTAAGAAAGGCTTCTCTGGCCCTGGCCAGTGTGGCTCATGTGGTTGGGCATCATCTCATGCACCAAAGGGTTGTTGGTTCAATTTCCGATGAGGGCACATTTCCTGGTTGTGGGTTCAATCCCAGTCAGGGTGCATGTAGGAAGCAACCTATCAATGTCTCTTTTTCACTTCGATGTTTCTCTCTCTCCCCCTCTTCCTTCCTCTCTCTCTAAAATCCTACATAACAAAAGGCTAATATGCAAATTGACCAAACAGTGGAACGACCAGTCGCTATGATGCACACAGACCACAAGGGGGCAGACGATCAACACAGGAGCTTCCCCCTGGTGGTCAGTGTGCTTCCACAGGGGGAGCGCTGCTCAGTCAGAAGCCCTGAGCCAGGCTCATGGCTGGCAAGTGAAGAGGTGGTGGTGGGAGCCTCTCCCACTTCCACAGCAGCGCTAAGGATGTCCTACTGATGGCTTAGGCCCATGGGGAGCAGGCCTACACCATCTGTCAAACATCCCCCGAGGGTTTCCAGACTGCGAGAGGGTGCAGGCCAAGCTGAGGGACCACCCCTCCGAGTGCACAGATTTTGTGCACCAGGCCTCTAGTCAATAAATAAAAAGAAAAGGTTTGCTGACTTTAAAAAGACAAATATGGAAACTATGGTTTAGCTTTACAGAATTTGGACTTGGCTGTTAGAACTGGGTTTATATCCTGGCTTTATTCTTAAGTGTATGTCATCTTCACTAAGTTGCCTAATCTAAGTGTTCATTTCCTCATCTGTAACATATATAGAATAAAATCATTTCCATCTCATAGGTTTGTTAAAATATTTAATAAAACTACCATCTATAGAATAATTAGCATAGTGTTTGATTTATAATGCATGATCAATAAACGGTAGTTATATTTTTAAATAATTCCATTAAGTCTTTATAATTCTATAAAGCCTTTATGGTTAGGCTGTAGCAATTACCCACTTTTCTATTTTAAAGCCATTAGGGTTTAAGTGAATGAGGATAATTAAAAACACCCAAGTGAATGTGGACATTCCTGAATGCCAGGGGCTTTGTCTGCAAATGCAACATTGGGATTTAAGAGCTACTGGATAACTGATGAATTAAAATAAACGGGCTAGCACACAGACTTTCAGCTCTGCCTGTGTGAATTAAGACATAAAACTAGCTCACTGCATAAGCGTGCTTCCCCTAGAGCCAGTGGTTTCAGTGCTAAATCATAACAATGCAGAGTAAAAAGTCTGAAGTGACGTGGACCCTAAGTGGCTGTAGACACTGAAATAGATGGACAAGCACCAAGAGAAGAGCCTCCATCCATGTTAATGTGAGCAGAGCTAACAGGCCAAGCGTTAAAAGAAAGAAGTGCTCTGAAACACACTGAATTATTTATCTGAGAAAAGAAATCAAAGCAAAAGATAAGAGAGCCATACATTCACCATAGTGGCTAAGAGCTATTTTATATTCTCTTCTCTACAAATGCCATTTCTCAAGCCCCTTAGAACTTGGAGTCACATTATAACCAACATTTTTTTTCTTTTGGTCTTTCTTTTGCTCCTCAGATCTAGCTTTAAAACAGGAAGAAAATATTTAATTAGGAATTCCTTAAAGTTGTATTATAAATAAAACCTATCATATTCCCTCAACTCCATTATCTGGCCAGGAGTGAGGAAGAAAGCAAAGACTATAAAATATACTGTTTGGAAGCCCAAAAGCTGACTAAGTAAGATGCATGCTTGAAAATACTGCTTATGGCATATCGTGGTCTAAAAATATCTCAAAGCAATTTAGGAGATTTATGAGGTATATAATGAAGCAAGAGAAGTAAAACCAGCTCTCTCAGCTTAGTAATAAGAAAATGAAGTAACAGTACAAGTTGTTCAAACAACATTTGTCACGAGAGATTTTTCTTTAGCAGCATTCAAATAGTTTTGGTTTTTAAGTCCATTTTCTTTTTGCACCTCCCTTTCCCACAATGTGCAGTTTTTTATAATGTGGGAGTAATGGCACATACTATGACTTCACCTACTTCCTGCTAAGCTACATCCAGCTGTAAAACAAGCTCACAAATGACTGTGAAAACCACAGGTTCCCAAATCAGCGAACCCATAATCCAGGAAGATGCACTTTGAAGAGTGTGCACCTAGAGCTGCCTGTATGGCTCAGTGGTTGAGTGTTGATCCATGAGCCAAAGGGTCAGTGGTTCGATTCCCAGTCATGGCATATGCTGGGGTTGCCGGCTTGATCCCCAGTAGAGGGTGTGCAGGAGGCAGCCCTCATCATTGATGTTTCTCTCTTCTCTCTCTCTCTCTCTCTCTCTCTCTCTCTCTCTTTCTCTTTCCCTCTCCCTTTTTCTGTCTGAAATCAATAAAAACAACTGAAAAAAAGAGTGTGAAACCTCAAAAATTAAAAACAGAACTACCTTATGACCCAGCAATCCCACTTCTGGGTATTTATCCAAAGAAATCCAAAACACTAATTCGAAAAGATATATGTACCCCTATGGTCATTGCAAAGTTACTTACAATAGTCAGGACATGGAAGCAACCTAAGTGCCCATTGATAGATGAGTGGATAAAGAAGATGTGGCACATGCATACAATAGAAGGGCATGAAAAGAATGAAATCTTGCCATTTCTGACAACATGAATGGATCTCCAGGGTATTGTGCTCAGTGAAATAAGTCAGACAGAGAAAGACAAATACCATATGATTTCACTTATATGTAGAATCTAAAGAACCAAATAAATGAACAAACAAAATAGAAACAGACTCATAGATACAGAGAACAAACTGATGGTTGCCAGAGGGTAGAGTTGGGGGACTGGGTGAAAAAGGTGAAAGGATTAGAAACTACAAATCGGTAGTTGCAATGTAGTCAGGGGACTCTGAAGTATAGCATAGGAAGTGTAGTCAATAATATTGTTATGATTATGTATAGTGCCAAGTGGGTACTGGACGTATTAAGCTATCACTTTGTAAATTATATAAATGTCTAACCACTAAGCTGTACACCTGAAACTAATATAACATAATATTGAATGTCAACTGTAACTGAAAAAAGAGTATGCAATCTAATGATGGTAATAGAAGACATTGAATTAAAGATTCATCTTTTTGAAGATGAACTTCCTCATTTTGAAATGATTTCCATTGTCTTACTAGTATTTTATTTTATAACTGCATTGTACAAAATCCTATGAAACCTATATAGCAGATAAGCAGTTATGGAAAAGCACCTTCTTTGCTGATAATTTTATCTGAGAAATGATATTTTAATCAAAGTGATAGACTTTCAACTTGCCAACTGTGGGCAGATCAAAGACATTAGGAGTTCAACTAATTTATGTACAGTATATAGATGAACAAAAATGCAATGCAGAATTTTGTATAAAGATTTTACTAAGAATTTTGTGGTTTTTTTGGAAGTATAAACTAAAATTTGAAAATTAGTATAAAAGATATTCTTTTCCTTTTTAGTAAGTCATCAAATGGAATCAGTAGATGTTGCTACTGTATCTGAATATTCTACAATGATAAATTTTAAGCCAAGTTGCATCAAAGAATTAAATACATCTTGAGAATAGATATTTTTCAGATTCATCTTTAAAGGCAGTGACGGGGTCTTGGTAATACTGACCCTTACCTCCCATCCTACAGACAATGTCTGATGATCTGTTGACAAATTTCAATGTTAGAGTCCCAGCTTGAATCCCATCTCCTCTCACAAAACTGTTCCTGACCTGAGTCACTTTTAATTCTCTGAATCCCATGGCAATGAAGCCTGAGTAATTTCATCGAGAAGATCAAGCATGTGAAAGTGAGTAGCTATAAAGCAGTATAAAAATATAAGATGGTACTATTGCCACATGCCCTGACCCATGGCAGGTGTTCAATAAATATTGTGGAAAGGGACAAATGATGTTATTTGCTAGTTGTCTGATGTAAGCACAGCTCAACTCCTGAACCCGGGTGGGTCATCCCTGAGCGTCCGGCTTACCTTCCATAATAAACCCACTGCAATGTTAAGAAACTACAAAACTCCTTAGGGGTCACCTGTGCTAGAAGAATCACCCAGCTGGGAAGTATATATCTGAGCTCCAGCTCTGCCCATGAATAACCTCGAGATACCTGGGCAGCCACTGACCGCTCTGGGCCCGGTTTCCTCATGTTTAAAAGGAAGCATTTGGGCACGATGGTCTCTAAACTACTACTGCCTCTAAGGAGAGAAGTTGCTGTTGATAGACCCTTGAGATATTTCAGGATCGTGCCAAAGATGTAATTTAATTTGATACCAAAACTATTCCGGGAAGATTGCTGAGGAGGACATAAAAAATGATTTTGAAGTTCTGAGTTCAGGTGAGGGAGCTCTCTACTCGGAGTGGCTGTATGCTTTACCATCCCCCCAAGACGTATGCAAGGTGAAGGGGGTCCTATCAATGAATATGCTGAGACAACAGGCATGAACTGGGACTGTCCCAGGACCACCTGGAACATAGGGCCCTCTCTCGTCCTCACCTTAGAGAGTTAAAACATTGCTGCAGATCAAAACATGTTCGGTTACGTTAAATTAAACATTCAAACAATAAAGCACCTACCAGGTATTCCAAATTTATTCAGCCTTCAAAGACATTTTCATAAATATAGTCAAAGGCTATTTTACTTCATGCACACCTTCTTAGGAAGAGTCATGGATAAGTAGGAAACCCTCTCTTTTATTTTATTTTTCAGTGTACTAAAGCAAAGTCCATACTGTTTATGACCATTTATACAAATGTCTGGACCCCAGAGAGTATGTCCCTTTAATCCTGAGCAAAGGTGTAAAGCCAGAGCCTGAGGGCAGGTGGAGAAGAGCAGCTCCGAGCAGAGGGGGCCCCAGGTGAGCACCGAGGCAGCCCCTGACTTACTTGACTCCCTTTGGCGTCAGGATGCACTTGGAGTCGTGCTGACAGGGGTTCAGGTCCTGGGCACAGAAGTCCAGCTTCTCCTCACACAACTCGCCTGTTAACATGGCAAACAGCGTTAGTTCAGAGAGGAAGGTTGGTAGCCTTCCGGCAGCAGGCTGTGCCATGGGCCTTACAGTGTGACCCAGCTTGTGATTGGGGGGAAAATAATCACAAAACAGAAGCAAAGGATCCAAACTGCTGGTTCTATTGGTATGCAGTCTTATGATTTGGGACAACACAAGTATTGCGATCTGTGACGAATATTCTGTTGGATTTAGACAAAGGAAATCTGATTGCTTTTCATGTCTGTTATTCTATTATTGTTATTCTGGACTTTTTATGGAGGTATAGCATCTACCCAGAGGATAAATGAATAGCTAATAAATATTCACCGGCTGAGCCCACTCATGTCACCACATCCGCATCCAGGAACAACCCCATCGACCAGCATCCCAGAGGTCTGGGGTAAATAACTGCTATCCTGACAGTTAGTACCACAGAACAGTCTTGCCTGTTTCAGAGCTTGACGCAGGTAGAATCATTCTGTATTTACCCTTTTATGTCTGGCTTAGTCTATTTAACGTCTGAAAAATTAATCCTCGGATCTTCATAGTCTCCAAGGTCTAATAAGTCTAGAATAAGATATTTTCCCCACTTATGACTTATTGCAATAGCTCCAGAGAATACTTCTAAGCTACCTCCACCAAGAGAGACAGGAAAAAGCAAAAGGAAAATCAATCTAAATAGAGAACATAGACTTTTTTCTGGGCATCAGCCAGCTCGTAAGGAATAGTTTTTGTCAATAAAAGTGAGTGAAGAGCATAACCATGCGGAGTCTAGACACACTGTGTTAATTGCACGTCTGACTCTTTCTTAGAAACTTTCTTCAGATACAAATAACATGGGTCTATTTCATTTTCAGATATATTAGGTCAAATAGGATTTTCAGAGAGAGGACTTTCCCAATCATTGTGTGAGAGATTAAGGGGACTGGAAAAATATAAAAGTTCTTTTCTATCTTACTTCTGAATTAATTTTTAATTATTTTAGTGACACATCTATAGGCTGCTGTTCATTTCCAAGAAACTATTGGAACTTTGATTTGTTCAACATGTGTGGATTTAAACAGTACTGGTTTAAAAATGAGGAGTTTGCAGCACATCCCTTGTTAGAACACTATCCTTTTAGTAACGCTTTGCTAAGGGGTAGAAGTAGTTGCCTAATAACTAAATGTGGCATATTATTCACACTGCAAGCATCTTTTTCTATGATGCAAGTATATAAATGTGCTCATCTAAGTGTTACATCAACTTGATCTATGATAAGGTAGGTATTTTTTCTCTGTCTCTTAAGATGAAATCATTGCACTGAAAGTCTCATATATTTCTTGTACAAGAAAGTTTTGTGTTTATAAATCTGTACAAAAATGTTTTCTCAACTATATATGATGAGCTATTTTTAAACAGGGTTTATTTAAAGCTTTGTACTTTCTGTTAGTATAAGAAAGGGGTACACGCTTTACTTTTTATTCACTTTGATCTGATCCTATTCGACCAAACCCAACCCAACCCAATCCAATTAAGCCAATCTAAACTGTGGTTCATAAGGATTTACTATACGATGTTCTGAGCTAGATGCTGGGGCTACAGGATGGATATGATGGGCGCTGCCCTCAATCATCTCCCAATCTACCGCCAGGGGAAGTCTGAGCTGGAGATAGAACATAGAGAATAAAACTTCAGCTCTGAGGGATGAAAATAGGAGTTGTCCCTTTCTTCTCCACCGGATATTTCTTCATAAACTTGTTGTGGGCAAAAGGTGAGAAAGGAAATGACTCTAAGCAATTACTGGCTAAACAGATTGCCAAGTGTGTAATCAGTCACAGCTTTAAGACTAAGTGTGCCAACTTGAGTGTGAAAAGCTACATCAATGTGAAATATTTCTTACCTTATAAGGAGTCTATGCTATAAGAACAGCATAGCGGCAATAGTAATCATTACTAAAGCTGTGTATGATAGTTCTTTGTGACCATTACATAGCTACACATTGGACTCTGGTAAGATTACTTCAAAAAGGATTTGTCTCCTTTTAAGTATCACCAAATACTGTAATATTAACAAGTGTTACAAGAGCATTTTCTGCACCCCATTACTGCCTAATTCACTATTCAAGCCCAATCTCCCATTCCTATACTTTTGGCACCTGTGACTATTCACTGGCTTACAAATTTATCTCAAATCTGTGCCCAAGCTGATGGTGTTTCATTTTGCTTTAGTAACTTTAATAAGTTCTGTTTTCAATTTTTACATCCATTCTGTGTCCCCTTCTTTATGAAAATTTCCTAGATATTAACCATTTGTTATTTATGTACAATTTCTATATGCCATGTCTGCTTCTGCCTATCTAATGGTACATATTGTATGCACTGTTATCGACTTAACTATTATATAGTGCTCACTACTATGTGTCAGAGAGTTCTAAAGGCTGTGCAAATATGCCGTCACTAAATGTTCATGAGAATCACATAAGGTAAGGTTGTAGGGTTGTTCTGTTTGGGGTGCACTGCATATTATTGGTGCTTATTTCATTCCCTTTCTTTGAAAGTTCATTGAGAGCAGTATGCTTGGCATGCATAGCTTTACATATTTTTAGAGTATGGTTTGGAGACATACTAAAATAATAGTTATTGAAAGAAAGAGTCATGCTTTTCAAGGCAATAACTCTATCTTGCTGATCTATATTCAACTTGGATTTCAATTTAACCTTTAGACATTTTTTTCTGGTTCATTTTATTGAATAGTCACTCATGAATAATAACTAGGTTATGCTCTTTTCTTTAAACAAATGTTAAAATAAATATTTTCATTGGGCTATTTAATTTGTTGTAATTGCATTGGATTATGCTGTATTTGGGGGAAGGCAGCCTTTAAAGTTTAAATAGTGTCCCATAGTGGTGAGACCTAGGAGCTCAATATAAGATGGGAAATGTAGCCCTAACTGGTTTGGCTCAGTGGATAGAGTGTCAGCCTGCGGACTCAAGGGTCCCAGGTTTGATTCCAGTCAAGGGCATGTACCTTGGTTGCAGGCACATCCCCAGTAGGGAGTGTGCAGGAGGCAGCTGATCAATGTTTCTCTCTCATCGATGTTTCTAGCTATCTATCCCTCTCCCTTCCTCTCTGTAAAAAATCAATAAAAATATTTTTTAAAAAGATGGGAAATGTAGCAAGTCCCATAGACAAATGCAGGACTTGATATCTCCTTCTCCATCAGTAAAGAAAAATTGGACATTTGAAAATACCACTGGTTTTCCAGGAATAATGGAAATAAAATGCACTAACAGTTGTGTGCTCATATATTTTTAGCCACTAATGAAAAACTTCTCATGCCCTAACCGGTTTGGCTCAGTGGATAGAGCATCAGCCTGCGGACTCAAGGGTCCCAGGTTCAATTCCGGTCAAGGGCATGTACCTTGGTTGCAGGCACATCCCCAGTAGGGAGTGTGCAGGAGGCAGCTGATCAATGTTTCTCTCTCATCGATGTTTCTAACTCTCTATCCCTCTCCCTTCCTCTCTGTAAAAAATCAATAAAAACTTCTCAAAACCTCAGAGTATTGAGAGGAAATTATGCTCTTCTTCTTCCTCTTTTCTCCTTCTTTTTCTCCTCCTCCTCCTCCTCCTCCTCCTCCTCCTCCTCCTCCTCCTCCTCCTTCTCCTCCTCCTCCTTCTTCTTCCTCATCTTCTTCTCCTTCTCCTTCCCCTTCTCCTCTTCCTCTATATCATCATCATATCATCATCACCATCATCATCATCATCTCATCATCAGTATGTGTGTAGTCAAAGCAAGACGTGTTAGTGGAAAATCAGGAAGAAAAAAAAAGGAACCTGACTTTGCTTTTTTAATGGCCCAGGGCCTGCCTGAGATCATATCATCAGTGGTTGCCCCCCTTCCTGAGATGATAAAGTGTGAGGTGACAAAAAGGAAAAGTGGAAATGTTCTTTCCACATAGTTAATGTTATAATCTGTTAATTCTATAAGCAGGTCTTTATATTTTTAACACGGCATCAGGAAAGATAAGTCAGCCCATTGGAGTGGATAAGGTCAACGTGGTTGAATACAGATTAAATTTCAGTGCCCATGAACTCCTTAAAAGACAGGGGTCCAAACAGACCCTGACTGTGTAATTTGACACCAATCAGGAAAGCCTATTTATTTGCTCTCAGCCCTGGATCCTTAAAGGTCCCCAACGATAAAGCAATAGTGTGGACTACCATGGTTGCCTGGCATTTATGATCTCACTTTTGATGAGACAAGGAAATTCCTCTTCCTCATGCTGCTAGTTTTCAGCTCTTTTGTTGATGAAAAGTTACAAACTTGTGTGTGTGTGAGTTGTCTGTGTTTTCAAGAAATAGAGAGTGGTCAACCAAAGAGCCTATTGCTACCACTTCAGGATATGAGAGTTAGTGTATGATTGGCTCTAACTTGTAAAAAAAAAGCATCATGTGTCTTAAATAGAGGTGACTTTCTTTATAAGAAAATAATGTCTGATTGTGTCTGTGTGGTAGAAATGGCAGAGAGTGGGACTGAAAATGCCTGAGTTCTATAGTTACACTAATGTGAGCTGTGATGGAACAGGGGAAGAGTGATGTTCGCTTCCCTAAAAGGCTGCGATACCTCAAAGCCTACTCTAGAAAGAGATACAATTCATTATTTACTGAACACCTGCACATGTGGATTTTATGAAGAATTTGATGTACTGGTAATGTGACCATACATCCTGGCTTGCTCAGGACAGTCCTGGTTTACACCTGTTGACCCAAGGCAATTTTCAATAGTGCCCCCATGCACCCACACAGATGCCCTGACTCGGATGAAAAATGTTATGGTCATATGAGCAGTAAAAGCTGAATCATCAGAGTTAATGTTCTGTTTGAGTGACGAGTGAACGAGCATAAAGGGAGAAATCATAGGCAGAAACTACTCTGACCGGGTGAGATGACATTGGGTGCTGAGTTATTGCTTGGAATGGCCTTCTGCAACTTATTCAGTATAAAAGAG